CGATCGATCCTTGGTCAAGGTGGTTGTTTTCTTTATTGTGTGAAATACTAAACACTTAAGCGATCATTTCATTTGCAGTAAAACTACCTGCATGTACATGTTATCATTAAATTATCTAAACTACCCTTTTGGCGTTAGTAATTAGTGTTTTAGTAGCAAATGTCCTGTCAGAACTAATCTGCATTTAAAATCGTGTTTCATGCAAACGTATAAGATAATTTTATTTCCAATTTTTGGCCCAGAAGGCATGCATAAAATTTCTTAAAATGACAAGATAGAAAGTTCTGAGAGAAAGGTTAGTAAACATATACGTATACAAACATAAACACACACACACCCTCACACACACACACACGTGCACGTGTATATAACTGATATAATATTACAAGTAACTGGACATGTAGATGCAGCAGTTGGGGTTGTCAAATTGTTATTTAACATGCAATCAAAATCAATATTATCAATATACATATATACCAGTTTACTAATAAATGTGTGTCTATAACATCATTTATAAAAACTCATGGCATTATGCCTAATTTTGAAGGCTTTGAGTCTTTGAAAAGATATTCACTTAGCTTTGTAATAATTAGATTATCTTCGTTAGACATTAACCAGAGAAATTTGTCTCCTTTTTGATGATAATATGAAATTTTTGTTTAGTAATGAGATATCACGAAAAAAATTATCTCTCTCCTCAGTTTCTAATGGGCTTTCGGTAAGAAAATGATATTCATCTTCTATATTGTTTTGCAAACACATAAACATATTCTTTTGTTTCTGTCTAAGGGGATTCTTTGACTAGCATTATTTTTTTTCAGATTCATATCAGCCTTTTTCAATTCTTAGGTCATGAGCACTTATTCTAAATCTGCAAATGGCTTTTCTCATTTCATGAGATTTAATGTACAAATATTTTTCCATTATAAAATTTTCTTTAAACATAAATTAAGTAGTGTATGATCTGGATTTATATGAGAAAATTTACATCATCCTAAAAAAAATTATCTTGTCTTAGTTTGTCTAAATGTGTGTGCAGACATGGGGTATATATACGTGTTCTTTAGATGAATGAATTTTCCACACGAAAAACCAACGGAAAAACTATTTTTCGATTTTACAAAAAATGTAAAAGCAACACCGCTCGACTGTGGTGCGCAACATGTATTCCGGCGTGCCTGGAGAAATAAATGCCCATGAGTTTTGAAAAATTGAAAGTTTAAAAATAATAATATGACATGATTTACGAGTTTAAAAATTTTATCCATAGGTCAACAATGGATTTGATAAAAATATGGCGGCAAAATTTCCTTTGGACATTTTTAAAATGCATTCAGCAAGTGTTCAATAGCATCAGTCTTAAGGAAAGCATAGAAGTGGAGCTTTGGTCAAAGAAAGTAAATGTGATAGATGTGTCTGAAATCAAACTGTTCGACAATAATCAAGAGAGGGACTTGCCTCCTTCTCCTTTATTCTTCGCGGATATAGACTGGACAATACAGTTTTCAACGTACTTTGAGATATTGTTTGTGACCTCACCATGCAACTGTATGCGCATTGAACCCCCTCCCCTCGTTGAATACGCCTTGAAATCAGTCAAAAAAACCCTGTATGTGTTTGTATAGATTCTTTGTTGTTTATTTATAGATTAAATAATAATGTATTTCATCATTAGTTTATTCAGATAAAAATGTCCCTCGAAAGTCATTTAGTGAATAAGATGTATATAAAATGTATGTTTTTTTCCTGTAAAAAGTGTATATTGTATCAATTTATTTTCAGAAGTTTATTTTCTATCTGCGAATAATGAATGTAAAATCTAGTATGTTAATGATGGTTGCTTTGGCTTTGAAATACTAAATGTACAATGCACCAATGTGAGTTTAGAGAGGAAATTTACTCTGTAAATTTTTGCTATTTTCAAATAGTAATTGTTGTAGTGAATACTGTATCAGTGATATTTTTTCGGAGGAAATTCACTCCGTAAAATATTGTTTTATCAAGGATAGTTGCCTTTGAATTGACTACTGTATGCTAACTTTATCAGTGTCATTTTTGAGAGGAAATTTACTCTTTATATTTTTGCCTTTTTCAAATTGTATTGTGGTAGTGAACACTATATCAGTGATAGTCTTTGGGGGGAAATTTACTCTGTTAAATATAGCTGGGTAAACGATGGTTGATTGGCATTGAAATACTGAATGTACAATGCACCGACGTAAATTTAGAGAGGAAATTTACTCTCTAGATTTTTGTTAATAACAAACTGTAATGTAAGTAGTGAACACTGTATCAGTGAAATTCTTTGGGAGGAACTTTACTTCGTAAAGTCTTGTTATATAAAGGATAGTCGCTTCTGAATTGACTACTGTATTTTTACTTGATTGAATGTCATTTTGAGAGGAAATTTTCTCTACAGATTTTTGCTTTTTTTCAAATTTAATGTAGTTGTGTACACTATATCGGTGATATTCTTTGGGAGGAAATTTACTCCGTAAAATCTATCTGTGTAAACGATGGTTGATTTCGCTTTGAAATACTGAATGTACAATGCACCGACGTGCATTTTGAGAGGAAATTTACTCCGCAGACTTTTTCTCTATGTTGAAATGTAGTGGTGAACAATGTATCTGTAATATTCTTATGGAGGAAATTTACTCCCTATGTTAACGAATGTTGATTTGGCATTGAAATACCGAATGTACAATACACCGACGTGAATTTAGAGAGGAAATTTACACTCTAGATTTTTGTTAATAACAAACAGTAATGTATGTAGTGAACACTCTATCAGTGAAATTCTTTGGGAGGAAATTTACTCCGTAAAGTCTTTTCAAAAGATATCGCTTCTGAATTGACTACTGTAGGTTTATCGTATGAATGTCATTTTGAGAGGAAATTTCCTCTCTTGATGAAATGTAGTTGTGTACACTATATCAGTGATAGTCTTTGGGAGGAAATTTACACCGTAAAATCTAGCTGTGTAAAAGATGGTTGATTTGGCTTTCAAATACTGACTGTACAAGGCACCGACGTGCATTTGGAGAGGAAATTTACCCTGTACAGTTTTTTTCTATTTTGAAATATAGTGGTGAACAATGTATTACTGATATTCTTTGGGAGGAAATTTACTCCGTAAAATGTAGCTATGTAAACGATGTTTTTTTTTGGCTTTGAAATACTGAATGTACAATTCACCGACGTGAATTTAGAGAGGAAATTTACTCTGGAGACTTTTGTTAGTACTTATTTTTAATGTTAGTAGAGAAAAATGTATCAGTGAAATTCTTTGGGAGGAAATTTACTCCGTAAAATCTAGCAATGTAAACGATGGTTGATTTGGCATTGAAATACTGAATGAGCAATCCACCGACGTGAATTTAGAGAGGAAATTTACTCTCTAGATTTTTGTTAGTAACGAACTATAATAAAAGTAGTGAACACTCTATCAGTGAAATTCTATGGGAGGAAATTTACTCCGTAAAATCTAGCTATGTAAATGTTAATGCGAATAATTTTAATTATTTAATATTTAATTAAATAAAATATCACATTAGTTGAAAAAGATGACTGCTTAGATAATATGTAAAAGTGTTTATTCTTAAATAAACTTTTTAAAAATGAATATGCTTATATAAACTATTATATTTGAAAAATATGTTAAAGCAAGATATTCTCTAAAAAATACTTAATTTTATCATTCAAACATTTTTTTGTGCATTTAGAATTGGGTTGAACATATTTCATTGAATATATACTATACTAATGGTTTGAAAACAAGTTCTTACAACTTATGAGATTCTAATCGTAAAATGCTACAACTGTCAATGTTTATACACGGGGAGAAAAAGAAAAAAAAACATGTTGATATAAGAATTAAATATAAGTTTTGTATGGACACTATTTGTATTTCTAGTAAACTACCGTATAAGTGGAAATTTTAGCGAGACGCAAATTTAGCGATTTGACCTTAAAAACTGGTAATTTATTTTTAGCGAGATGTTATTTTAGCGATTTTAAAATGCCACATTAAAGAAGCTATTACAAATACAATGCGATTTATTTTTAGCGATATTTAATTTTAGCGATCTCAGTACCCTCGCTAATAATGCCAAAATTAAATCCTCGCTAAAAATTCTACTTATACGGTATATATAAATCAGATTATATCACATGTTTACATTCAATTAATTATTTTTTTTTAATAATACATGTAAACATGTTATTCATATTTAGTGCAAATATTTCTCCAAAGTAACCCCGTGGGGATCCGGGTTAGAATAGATCCTCAGTACCCCCTTGCTTGTCGTAAAAGGCGGTCATTCGGATGAGACCGTATAAACTGAGACCCCGTGTCACAGCAGGTGTGGCACGATAAAGATCACTCCCTGCTCAAAGGCCCTGAGTGCCGAGCATAAGCCTAAATTTGCAGCCCTTCACCGGCAATGGTGACGTCTCCATATCAGTGAAATATTCTGAAGAGTGACGTTAAACAATATACAATCAATCAATCAATCTCCAAAGTAACTTAAACTCAATTCTTTTTCTTTACATTCTGAGTATAATCGCTTTATTGGAAATTAAGATTTAATTAAGTAATGATCTAAATACATTAAATAGTTTTTGTGTATCGTCCAAAAATTTCTCTGTAAGTGGGTGAATTTATTTACTTTTAATTTTTTTTTAATTCTCTTTATATTAAACATGATCCTAAGTATTCTTTTTAAAAATAATATTGATATGAACATACCAGTATGTATTTTTAAAATTGTTAATATTTAGAACCTGATTAATTATTAATTATGTGGGACGGTCACGTGACCTATGGCTAGGTTGGTCAAGGTGTAAATTGAGGAGAGGATTAAGTCGATCTGTGATTTAATGGTTTAGCCATTGCTCCCAAAACTTTGCAGAGGTGTTTCTATATAGTCGGAATGTCTTTTGTGAAAATTTGAAAAAAAAAATCGGTGAGTGTTTAGAAGTCTGTAACTTAAAAAATTATGGCCTTTCAAAATAGCAAGGATGAGAACAACTCACAGTGTAACCCAGCCTTGTCGTCGGGAGTCACTGGAGCGTCACCGCAGATGTCCGCTATTCATGATTGCTTGCGGTCAATTACCGGTAAACTGAACAATATCAATGTTTTACAGCAATCAGTAAATAATATGAATCGGGACCTATGGGATGAGGATGGGTTAGATGAGCGCATCAAATACATTGGTCAACAACATGAAGATAATGTTGGAGAAATCGAGACGCTGAAATTAGAAAACAATTATTTGCGAAAAGAGCTTCAAGTTTTAAAGTCAATCATCGTTAACTTAGATAGAAGGGTCAGTCAGCAAGAGAATGAAATAGTGGACCCCAGAGGAAGATCGATGAGGGACAATATTCTTGTACATAACTTAGCAGAAGATGACCAGGAAAATCTGAACACTAGAGTTAGCGAGTTGATCAAGGAGCATTTGAATTTGGAAGTTGGTTTCATCAGGATACACCGAAACGGTCAGAAATTCCCTGGCAACCCGAAACCAAGGACAATAACAGGAAAATTACAGAACTACAATGATAAAGAACTCATCTTCCAAGCTATTCGTCAAAAATAGGAAAATGGCACTGCTAAGGAAATGCCCTTCTATATCACTCCACAGACGCCTCTGCAAATAAATGAAAGTAAGAAAAAACTGCAGGAGATGAACAATAAATACCGAGAAGAAAACGTCAAAACAAAGATAGTGGGAAACAAGTTAGTCTTTCCAAACGGAGGCGTGTACCGGGACAAGGTGCTACCACCACGGGCTGAGGATATACTCATGTTGGACAAGGACGAAATCGAAAAGCTGGATGAATGCGATGTAAGGAAGTGCGAAAGCGTAACAGAAGATGGGAACATCTTTACTTCATTAATCGCCGAAATTCACACATATGCACATGCTAGGAACGTTTACAAAAATATTCTACGCAACCCGGACTATGCCTTTGCCAACCATAATATCCTAGTATACCGATTCAAAGATGCCCAAGGCCGAGTGCATGACGGCTATTGCGACAATGGGGAATACGGGGCCGGACGTCGACTGCTTCAGGTACTGGTTGAGAGAGAAGTATCGAACGTAGCGATTGTCATTTCGAGGAAGAATGGTAAACATTTGGGTCCCCGTCGGTTTGACATTATGAAGGATCTGGTGGTAAACAAAGCCGTCAGCCATACTTATTAAGAATTTTAATAGATGAACACTTACAATAAACACTGTCACTGTGTTACATGCAAAATTAATATTTGATAAAATTTCCAATTCATAAGTACAATTACATTTACGGTATAATAGTATTTCTAAGATTGAATATTTTTATACTTGGTTAGTTCTTTCCGGAAAAATATTAGTTACAAAGACTGAGTCATAAACTATTTAGCAATTTATATTTCCGATTGTACTTGTTTTGGGACTACTCATCAGAAGTTTTGTAAACATGGTAAATGCAGATTGACAAATCTCCTTTCTCCATCAGTAAATACGATCAATAGACTGATGCCAATAAGTTTCATTCACCTTGTTTGTAAATATGCACCCTTATCTCTCTTTCACGTTTCTATCCCCCTTTTCCTATCCTTCCTTTACATTGGGCATTCATTCGATTCTTTATTGATGTTTTTGTACGATTATGGTAAAATATAATAATCTAAATATACTTACAGTAAACTGCCAGGGTCTTGGAGATAAAAATAAAAGATTAGATGTTTTTAATACTTTAAGAAAAAAGAACTATAATGTTTATTTTTTGCAAGACACACACTTCGTTAAAAGTGACGAAAAATTTATCCAAACACAGTGGGGCTATCGGGCATTTTTCAGTTCGTCTAAGTCTAATTGGCGTGGTATTGCTATTCTTTTTAATAATAATTGCGAAACAAATATCCACAAACATTTAAGCGATGAAAATGGAAATTACATAATAATAGACTGTACTATTTAGGGTATGAACTTTATACTTGTAAATATTTATGGGCCAAATTCTGATACACCAGTTTTCTATTCTAATTTGATGAATGAGATTGAAAAAATCTACATGTTGCAACAAATAATCATAGCAGGTGATTTTAACTTAGTTTTAGATAAGGAATTAGATTCCATGAACTATAAAAATTTGAACAATCCAAAAGCGAGACTGGAAGTTATAAATTTAATGGAAAATTTGAATCTAAAAGATATATTTCGTGAAAACTACGCTCAAGTAAGGCGCTATTCGTGGAGAAAAAAGACACCCTTAAAACAGGCTAGACTAGACTTTTTTCTTATATCTGAATCTTTGCTCCCTTCTGTTAGTAGTGTTCAATATGAAAACAGTTACAGATCGGACCATTCTCCAGTTCTGATGTCTTTGAAAATTAATGACTTTATTAAAGGTAAAGGATTTTGGAAATTTAACAATTCTCTTTCAACAGATAAGGCTTATATTGATTCAATTAAACAAAAAATCAATGACGTAAAAGTTCAGTATGCATGCCCAGTGTATGACTTAGATAATCTTTGTTCTGTCGATAATGAATTATTGTTGTTCACTGTTAGTGACCAATGTTTCCTAGATATTTTACTCATGGAAATTAGAGGAAAGACTATATCTTACTCAAGTTATAAGAAAAAAAAGATGCATGAAAGAGAATTATTTTTAGAAAATGAGATTTTACATTTAGAACAAAATCTGACAGAAAGTACATTAAATACCCTTAAAATGAAACAAACAGAACTTGAAGATATACATAAGACAAAGTTAAAGTGACAGGTTATTCGTTCTAGAATGAAATGGATTGATGAAGGTGAAAAACCGTCAAAATATTTTAGTCAACTTGAATCTAGAAATTATTTAAGTAAACTGATACCAAGATTAGAAAAAGAAAATGGATCTATTATTTCAGATCAATATGATATTTTAAATGAAACAAAACTTTTTTATGAAAATCTATATAAAAAAAGAGAAGTTGTTGAAAATGAAAACTACAGCAAAAAAATGTCAGAATATAATGATATCCCAAAGCTGTCTTTTGAAGAAGCTCTAAGTATGGAGGGTCCTATAACAAAATCAGAGGTTTTAAACTTTCTTAAACAGATGAAAAATGATAAAAGCCCAGGTCCAGATGGATTCACATGTGAATTTTTTAAATTTTTTTGGAGGGATATTGGCACATTTATTACAAGAGCAATCAATGACTCATACTTAAAACAAACTTTTTCCGAACCAAACAAATTAGGGGTAATAACTTGTATTCCAAGAACTGGTAAGCCAAAACAATTTTTAAAAAACTGGCGGCCTATTAGCCTGTTAAATGTGGTATATAAATTAGCCTCAGGTTGCATTGCGGAAAGAATTTAAAAAATTCTTAGATAAGCTTATACATGGGGACCAAACAGGATTTATAAAAGGGAGATTTATTGGTGAAAATATTAGATTAATATATGATATTATGCACCAAGCAGAGTCACGAAATATACCTGGCCTCTTAATGTTTATCGACTTTGAAAAAGCATTTGATACCATTTCTTGGAACTTCATAAATCAAACACTTTGTTTCTTCAATTTTGGTCAGTCAATTAGAAATTGGATAAAATGTTTCTATAATAATATAAAATCCTGTGTTATTCAAAATGGGATAGTGTCTCAGTACTTTTACCCTGAAAGGGGTTGTAGACAAGGTGATCCTATTTCACCGTACCTTTTTTTTACTTTGTGCAGAGATTCTAGGTATTTTAATTAGAAAAAATAAGGATATTAAAGGTATAACTATTGATGGTGAAGAATACAAGTTGTCACAATATGCAGATGATACATCTGTTATTTCCGATGGCTCTCCAAGCTCATTGGATGGAATAACAAGAGTGTTAGATTATTTTGCATCAATCTCAGGTCTAAAAATAAATTTTTCTAAAACTAAATTAGTCTGGATAGGAAGTAAAAAATTCTCAAAAGATGTTTTTCATCACTCAAGATGGAAGTTTGATCCCAGTATTACATCCTTTGATTTACTAGGTGTTAAGTTTTCTGTTGATCTACACGAGATGGTAGATATTAATTACAAATTAAAAATTGAAGAAATTAAAAAAAAACATGTTACAATGGAAAGCTCGCAAACTTACTCCTCTTGGAAGACTGACTGTAATAAAAACATTAATAATTCCTAAACTAAATCATCTTGTCCTCACTTTACCAAACCCTAATGATGATGTCATGAGTGCTTTCGAAAAAGACTTGTATAATTTTTTATGGAATAATAAAAATCATAAAGTTAAGAAAAATGTAATTATTCAAGAGCATAAATTTGGGGGCTTGAAAATGATAGACTATCAAAATTTTGTTACTTCATTGAAATCTAGTTGGGTAAGGCGGGTTATGTACTCAAGTGCAAAATGGGTTAAATTACTTGAAGCATAATTGGGAATAAGTATAAATCATCTTTGGCTGTTTGGAAATGACTTTATTAAGAATCTGAGTAGTACCACAAAAAAAAAAGTTTTGGAAATATGTTTTCTCTAGCTGGTGTAAAGTAAATCAGGCTAAAGCTATAGCTGATTTAAGTCCTCTCCAAGAACACATATGGCATAATCCAGGTGTTACCATTGGTGGCCAGTCAATTTTCATCAAAAGTTACTTTAATTCGGGCTTTGTATTTATCAATGATTTCTTAGATTTGAATGGAAACTTTTACAGTTTTGATTTTATTCATTATAACTTGAAAGTAAATACAAACTATGTTGAATATGCCGGACTAAGAACAGCAATTAGAAAGAGACTATCATGTTTAAAGAATTATGAAATAAAGCCAATGCCCAGACCGATGCTTCCAACCAGCCTTGAAATTTTCTTAAAGAGTAAAAAAGGGTGTAATGATATGTATAATGTTCTTATTAGAAATAAAAAGGGCAATATAACTTCAGTTATAAAATGGAGTGAAAATGGGGTAGAATTTTGTGAAAAATACTGGGAAAAAATTTTTGATCTACCTTTTAAAACAACCCTACAATCAAAACTTCAATGGTTACAATTCCAAATCTTTAAGATTTGGAATTACATAGAATAATTCCTATTTATTGCCATCTTTTTAAATTAAGATTGATCGATTCACAATTATGCTTCTTCTGTGAGAAGGATATTGAAACTATTGATCACTTTTTTGTTGAATGTTCTGCTGTAAAAGAAATATGGTTAGAGATTGAAGAATGGATCTTCCAAAAAGTAAACAAGCCTGTTTGTTTTGATAGACAATCAATTTTATTTGGTAAATTTTTAAACAGAAACTCCTACAAGTTTTTTTTTTTTTTTTTTTTTTTTTTTTTTAGATAAATTTATTAATAATTATGCACGCCCGATTACAATTTCTAACTAACCCGGGCCAGGATAGTTAGTATAACAAAATTAACAGAACAACATATCTTAATTAAAGCATTTCTACAAATGACACCAGCTTATTTTTATACATGTGAGTTTTTGTTAAATTCAGAAAAATGTTCATATTGTTTTTAATATTTGTTTTGACATAAGAAAGTAACATATCTTTTGTTTCAGTTTTGTTCGTAACTCTAGAAAACATTTTAAATTTATATATCTTATATGCTATGAAAGACACAAAGGTATTTAAAAATTGTATTTTGGAATTCCGTTCAGAATAAAAACCTAAGACGACATGCTTCCACTGTACATCAAAATTTAACACAGAACTCAGATTTTTCCACAGTATATGAACATGTTCACAATCAAAAATTAAATGTCTAATATCTTCAATTTCATCACACATATTACGTAAAGCAGAAGCTCTATATTTGCATTTAAAAAGAAAACTGTTACAACACAATGTATTATTCAACAATTTGTAATTAAATTCACATATTCTTTTGTCATAGATATCCTTAACCTTGTTTCTATATATATCCTTCCAACTCTCTTGAGCAACAGAAAATAGTTTTTTATACATAAATTGATGGCCTGGAGCTTTAAATTTCTTAAAGAGTAAATTATCGTAAAAAAATTTACATTTTTTATCTTCAATACAATGTACACCATTTACAAAATTAAAATAACACTTCCCTATATTTTGTATGTATGCACAACAAGTCATATTGAATCTTAAAGATTTTTTATAGATTGCTGTTTTTACTATTTTATATTCACATATCCAATTCGTTTTTTGTTTTAAATCACCGGACAACTCTTGTAGAGTTTTAAATTT